CACTTCTCCACTGCTGGTGGGAGTGCAGACTGGTGAAACCACTGTGGAAATCAGTATGGAGATACCTCAAAGATCTAGGGCTGGAGGTCCCCTTTGATCCAGCTATTCTCTTGCTGGGTACATTCCCAAAAGAATTAAAAGAATCACACCACAGAGATATATGTGCACCCATGTTTATAGTGGCACAGTTTGTAATAGTTAAAGCTTGGAAACAGCCCAAGTGCCCTTCAACTGGAAACTGGATAAAGAAGATGTGCGTTTTTAAAAAAAATAAAATGGAGTACTACTCAGCCATAAAGAATGAGAAACTAGAGATATTTTATAGCTAAATGGATGCATATTGAGGCCATCCTCTTAAATGAAATAAATAAGTCACACGTGTAAATACCGAATAGTTTCTCTAGTGTGAGAAACTGAAAGTCCAAATAAGGGTTAAAACGATTAAAACGAATAATTGATAATTTCAAATAGGAGGAAAAGGTCCAAAGGGGCAGGAGTGGTGGGAGAGGAAGGGCAAAGAAAAGAAGGGAAAAGAAAAATTATGAGAAAAGAAAAAAATGGAGATGAAGTCTATGTAAATAGGGAAGTTTGGTGGGGTTGAAGGGTGCACAGGGGAAAATGGTGAAATAATAAGAACATCATGTACAGGTACATGCACCCAGTGATAAATGTAAACGTATTGTATACCTAAAATGTACCAATAGTAGAATTTAAGAAAAACAAATAAATAAATATACTTCAGTACTTGGTGGATAAATAAATGAGTAGTCAGTTAGGAGGCACCTGTCTACCTGCCTTTCCTTCCACAACAGTGGAAACAAACGTATACAAAGTGGTATCTCCGATTAAATATTAAATAGTGTAGGATCAAAATATCTTATTCACAACTAAGTTTTATGCTACATTTTTATCATTTTATTGTAGAGTTCTATAAAAGCCTTGAAAAAACACAGCTTAGTGAAATTATGGGTTCTTTAAAAAACATCTCTCTCATTTTCTCAGGATGACATTTTAAACAGCAATGACAGATGCAATGTTTTCTCACACAAGAAGAGAGTAATTCATTAACACACACACGAAAGAAAGAAATCTAGATTCAACCTTTACCACCAAAGTCCTTAAAAATGAAAATAATTAATGCAGCTGCAAGAGATCTGAAAAGTCAAACTGGCTTTATCACTCAAGAATGCCAAGGTGCTAACAGGAGCCTCTGGTGACTATCCAACTGGTGAATGTGTGTTTGGTTTGAGTTTGGGTGCAGGAAAGAGGGGCTTTTAAATTAGAACCTACTGGAGCATTTGGAAGGACAGAAATACATGCTGAAAAGCTGAAAGGGCTTTTTGTAATCAAATAATTCAAAATGCATCTGTAAAAAGCCCAGAGAGGCAAATGAGTTGTCTAGGTTACCTAGGTGGTTAGACATAGATTTGATTTAAGAAGATATTTTGTAATAGAAAAACTTTTTATACATGGGCCACATTTCAGGATGGCATCATGGTGAGATGATTCATGATGAGGCAGAGTATTACAAGCTATGTCTAAAATAAACTCAGAGTATGCTTTTGGATTGCTGAGTACCAGGATAAAAGTTACAAAATCTATCCATCACCTGAAGGTATCCAACTGCAGAGTCTCTCCTATGGCAAAGTGGGTTCTGAAGACTGCTGATAAGTCCATTTATTGTCAAGGTCAAAGTAACACTATACAATAAATTGCCAACAGGTGAGAAACAGAAGATTTGAAATATTTTTATGTTGACTCATGGCTTTGTATCTTACGTATGGGTGTTGCTAAGAGTGAGGCTTCTGGGCCCAATTTTTCTATCAGTAAGTAGACCAAATAGCTCATACTGTAAGTTTACTGTCTTCCTTTTGGTTCTTCACAAGCGGAGCCTGAGAAAAGAATTCATGTGCATAAGATTTGTTGAAGAAATAATCTCTGAAAAAGACTGAGTGAGAACAGAGCAAAGGGAAGAGCTAAATAATAAGACATCTCAGCCATCGTCTACTTTTAGCCTTAATGCATGGGGAGGTGTGGGGACTGAGATGTAGAGGAAGGACAGCTGTTGCCACTAGTTTTTGGGGATGGACATATCACTCATCAAAAAGGGTGTGAATAAGGAGCACCAACAGGACCTTCTGCAGGCTTATTGTGAAACTTATGATTTGGTACTTAGATAATTATTATGTCATTAGCAACCAAATAAAGAAAGAAAGCCCCCATGATTTGTGTGGCAGTGTATGAGAAGGACTCACTACTGTAACATGAGGAACATAAACTTTATAATATGAGCTCTTCTTTATTATATACTCAAGTTCCAACATGTTCTCTAACAACACAGTACAGAAAACCCCAAAGCCAAGCTTCAAATCAACAAAATGGGAATAAGAGTGTCTGCCTTCTATGATTGTTAATTAGCTTGAGAGAGATAATATACACATGCCAAAGCATGTAAAAGTCTTGAAAACTAAAGAACAAGAAACTGCTTGGATAAAATTTTAGAATGTGAATTAGAAGCATTTCTAAGAGAAATGGTAGCTGTTTTAAGTGTGTAGATGTTTGGTCAAGAAAGTTAAGAGAAAGGGAAATGATAAATAGTAAGAATTAGAAGCATCATTTTCTGACCATCCACATGAATCAGGGATATCAAACTCATTATCTCAGTTTTCTAGATCAGTGTCCTATGTGGAGGTCCTGCTGCAATTCTTGTTCTGTCAATTTCATAACAAAGGTTTAATGTTGTTGAGAAGTTGCCTAGTTTCATTCTGCTAAATAGGTGACGGAGATAGAAATTGAACTCAGATATATCCATATCGCAAATTCCAACACTGAATCATCATTGAATAGTTAAAAATTTATAAAGGAAGTAATGAAGAATTAAAATTAGGAGGATAATATATTTCATGTACTTTAGGAGCTTGCCATTTAGTCGCAGGTAACAATTCAGGCTCTACTTTTCATGTGTTAACATGCTAGCAATTCTTGCTCTAGATGCAACAGGAGACAATTCAGACCTGACAGCACTATAGGTACTGTGCAGAAGTTCTTATGGTAGTTCTTCCTTTTAATTTTTCAAATGTGATTGTTAGAGACTAAGATTTTTTAACTTTGTAGAAGAAAGATCACTTAATGGACATAGGTCATTTTTACTTTCTATATGAATAGTACTGGAAATGCTTTTAAGGATCAATAGCCATATACATTTAGCCCCCCCAAAAGAAAAAAAAAGATAAAGAGACAGAAAAGTGAGCAATGACATGAAAACTGATTTCTCTCCTTCATCTAAATGGAGGCATTTAATTTCTTAATTTAATTTTTCCTCTTCTGTGTTTTTGGCAAAAGCTAAATATTTAAATTAGGCAAACTTCTGGTTGCACGTGTTTTTTAATGCAGAAAAAGAGATAAGTTAAAATAATGTAGAGAATTTAAGAGGTATTTTTGTTAAGAATTGAAGAGTAAGAAGAACAAATGTATGACCAAATAAAGCACAATGCCTTAACTTTAGGTGTACGTATTCAGCTGGTTTAAAAACTGGGTAGAAACTCAGGGATGTAGCAAATAAATACTATACATTGTCTGGAATCTCCTTTACAGAGAATCAAACCTATTGTTATAAAATTTGATTCAAATCATGTATCCTCTGCAGACATCTGCTTTCCAAGCAAAAGAAATAAATAATGATTGTGACAGAATTATTCAAAGTCTTTGGAAAAATTGTTTCTTTCTACAACATAAGTATCTATTATGTTTCCAAATGATTAGTTTTAGCTGAAAGTCAGATATAAGTTGTTATGATTATCTTCAGAATCTTAAGTCTTAAAGTTGCCACCAGCCTTTGTCCATCCATATTCTGTTTAGGTTCATAAACATATATGCTTTTCTTATATCCACAGATATAAACACATTAAAGATATAATTAACAATGTGTGCATGTGTTTGTGCATATATATGTTTACTTATGTCTATCTCTGTCTGTCTGTCTGTCTGTCTTCAGAAGCAAGGCCTTCCCCCCAGTGGTCAGCATACTCAGGCAGAACTGTTTATAGAACATGGGATCTCTGGTATAGAATAGTTGTTAGAGCATGAGATTTGCAGTGAGAAACAGACCCAATTATTAATTCATATATCTGCTAATGACTGAAGTAGTTCTGCAGGGTAGGATTGGGCACATAGAAAATTTAAAAGCATTGTCTTTTTAAAGTAACTGATAGCATAGACATTTCCCTGAGCCCCTAAAGAATAACAGCTAACATATTGGCTCCCTTATATAGCCTCTGAAGTACAGGGATCAGGAAAAATTCAAGTCTTCCACATCAACAGATATAATTACTTTCAAACAAGCTTTCATTGAATCCACTATGAAACATTTTAGTCCCTGGAAACATTATATATAAAGGATATAAGAAGCAATATGTCTATTGTTCATCTACTAATGTCCCCAAATGTCACCAAGGTAATTACTTGGATGACATTTATGTGATGCAGCTGGACATTGTTACAGTTAATATAAAGCCTGCCTTCGGCAACCACTTTATTTCTACCTACATCTCACTGTGTCACACTCTGAGTGTGTGATCACTTTTCCTGGAAGAACACTTGCCTCCCCCAGATGACATCTCCACCTTCTGTTATTTCCTCTTTCCCTCTGCACATCCATATCCAATGCAAAACAAAAATTTGCAAAAGGGCGATAACATCATATGATACACATTTACCTTAAAATTTATATCTGGAATTTTTAGAGGTGTTTCCAAAAATAATTCACAAATATAATAATGCTAATATTTTCTTTTATTTTCCCTTTTTAAAAACATGTTTCTATTATCCCCAGGAGTCTAGATACACAAAAAGCATACTGTCAAAAATTTCTACGATCATAATTCACATTTGCACTCAAAGAGCAGATGATTGGCAAAGCTAGATTTTTCCTACTATGTATAAGAATGTTATATTTTCAGAGACAAAGAGAGAACAAATTCCTTCAGCCTCTACAAACTCACATGCAAACTGGAGTTTCGCCTTCCGACTCAGAATTGTACCCAAGAGATTGGTGGCCAGGCACTGGTATGTGCCAATATCTTCACCTGTGCGTGGGCTACTAATGGCCAATCTGCCTCCATCCAGCTTGTAGCGATAATTCCTGGTAAAATCAATCTCGGAACCATTTTGCTTCCACCTTCAAGGGAAAAAGATCAAATTACACTTATAATACATGGAGTCAAATGCTATTTGTCTTAAACAACTTTCAATTTTAATTCCTGAAAACACAAAATTAGAACAAAAACCATGGTTATTTATGAAGGTAGTTCCACTGGTTTCCCCAAGACTAACTGTGGTATCCATAGCTAGGTTACTTGAAAGCTCTTGTACTCTTTAAAAATTATAAACATTCACCCAAATGTGTACAAAGCAGCAACAAATCCATTGAAATAAGAAGTAAAAGTTAGCCGTTCAGTCAATAATACTGGTCATCCTATTCCTTCAGAGACTTTTCAAATATTGTATACCATCCCTGAACTCTCACAAATGATGCTGTAAAATTGAATGTCAAAAATGATTTAGAGGTAGAAATCCAAGAAGTGTATATTACAAATGGCACAAAGAATGCCAACAAAGGTTTTACAATGCCAATTTGAGTCTGACAGCAAAACAATAATAACCTGACTACTTCAGAATACTATTGTCTATGTTAGTCTGTTACATGGAAAATTAATCACATTGAAAATACTTCAATGGTACTTAGAAATGACAACCTAAAATTAGATTAGCAAAACAAATGCAGCTCGAGAAGTTTTTATTTAAAGAAGAAAAAGTCTTGAGGCTTAGCTGTTAGTCAACAATCCTTTAGTACATGAATTAACTAACTGAGGTACACTGGAATAATATTTATTTTCAAATAAATATACTTTTGGGAATTCCATTTTGTCATTTTAAAACAAGTGAATAACTAGTCATAACTTTTAATCTGATTCACTCCCCCTACTTTATACTTCCCAACTCTAGCGAAATTTCCAAATACTTTGATGTATGATGACTGCATATTTAGTGAGACACATTCCCAGTGCACAAGTTGTGTGTAGTCACACAGACCATTTAGGAGAGACATTTAAAACAGTCATGACAACCATTTGAGAGTGGAAAAATATCTTTTCGACACATTTCTAGGTTCATGGTTGAGGTTTCTACAACAAAAGGCAGATGAATAAGAGAAAAGCTTTCAGAGGTATTTAGTATAACTTTTACATGAGATGGGAGCATTCAGAAACAGATGCCAAAATGCAGAACAACATGTGCATTTTCCCACTAGGTTTGATCAACTGTGGACAGCTCTCGGAAAGTAGGAGAGCTGAATTAAGGGAGTAAAATCTAACAGTGATAAAGTAGATGTGGGGAACTAATGATCTGCTTTTTAAGATTCTTATTGGTATCTCTGAGTCTTTTTAGATAAAGTTGTTGCTTTCTTCTGGGTATAGGAAAAATACCTTTAGAAAGTAGTTTTATGACTTGGTTCAGAGGAAAAGGGTGAGGGAAAGGTGAAAGGGATCTTCTTGCTTCTGCTATTTTCTCACATGCCAGAGTGTCATATTTTAGGATGATGTGTCCTCAATCTCATTACTGTTACTTAGAAAAAAAATGAATAAATGAACCCTTTGTATGGAATATAGTTAATTTATAAATTATATTTTTAAGGGTATATGCCAGCTTTGCAATGATTCTGCCTCTCATAATGAAATCAGATTAAATACTTTGGTGGAGGTAGTTAATTGTAGAAAAGGAATGACATTTTATACCATTATTTCTTATGCCATTGACTTTTTTTTTTTTTTGGTACTGGGGATTGAACTCAGGACCTTGCACTTGCAAGGTAGGCAGCAGCACCACTGAGCTAAATCCCCGCCCGCCACTGACATTTTAAGAGCATCTTGAAACATTCCATGAAGTGAATCCGACAAATACCTATCAAGGTAGCAAATTTGAGCCTAAGTAATTCTCTATCCTATTAAAGATTTGAAGTGATAGATCAAATATCAAATCAATCAGATGTTCTGAATAAATCTTGTCACTTTTAAATTATTTAGCCACTTCCTGTATACTTCAACTTCTCTTTTATAAAATGAAATTGAAAGCTAAAGAATACATTTCGATGGGCTGGATTTTCTGCTATTTTGTTTGTATAGGAATTAGTTCAGAATGCTTCTTCTTTTCAATATTAACATAAGAAAAAGTAAGAAAATTTTCCTCTTCTAATCTGTCTCAAGAGGCCAATATTCTCACTGCCAGATCTGTAATACTGTCTTTCATAATTTGCTTACAGGGTATGGTCTTTAGACCTCTATGTTCCTATCATTTCCTCAGCAAAGGATATACCATACTTAGTTTGCCAGCTCTCTTTAATTTTGGAATCAATCACTGAAATAACTGCTGTCATCATTACATGCTCCTAATTAAGCCCAGTAATTGTTTTTCAACACAAATTCAAAGTTGTTGGCTTAGCTGTAGCAAATGAATTTTTCACAGTATCCCAGTAATCATTCTAATCACTATGGTACAATGATTATTAAACTGTGCATATAGATCAGGGGTTCAACTCCTTGCTCTAATTAATATGTTTAAATCAATGGAGAAATAGTATTAATGAATTCAAGTGATTTTCATACACGTGTTATACACCCAGGAGTATTTTCCTGTGATGAAGAGTAGGAAATGTGTGTTAAATAATTATTTTAAGGATATGAATTAATATATTTATTCCAGAAAATGTAATGGATTTAATCTAAAACCTTGACCTTTTGATAGGAAACATCCTTCACTATTAGGTAGTTAAGCCGTGTGTTAATGACTGAAGGACATGTATTAGCTAATGCAAATGTGTGTGTGTGCATGTGCATGTGTGTTTTACAAAACTTAGTACTATTTAAGTGCTTGTCACAAGTGTCCTTTTCTTAGTTTATCCACAAACCTCTGAAGGAAAATTCTAAATTATAAATTTGAAGTCTCTTTTGGTGATTGTAATGCATGGTAAATTTGGGACTTTTGCTGTGGAAGAAATCCTAGTCCTAGCTCTAACACACTTGGGCTGGGTATTCTTGGACACAAATCAAGTATGATTTCTCAAGTTATTTCCATCAGTTAAACTTGCAAAATAATATATATCCTATTTTATTTCATGAGATTAAGATGAGGTAAAAAAATAAATCAGAATGGTAGAAAGGCCAAGTGACAAAACTGTTAGGATTTTTATTCAGAGGCTAGAAGCTATTTATTTCTTTAAAATAATTTTAGACAAACTGTTCTTAAACTATTTCCAAAGTTTGGCTTTTAATATCACTATTCTCCACGTGAGATTTCATTTGCTAAATTGCATTTATTAAAACAAAGACACATCTTAATTCCTTTAAGAACTAGTGGAAGAGATAAAATTTGGTGCCATAATCCTATTTAAAAATTTTTTCAACAACATATTTCACATGGATTTTCTTTGTTTTTAAAAATGTTATGTAGAAAAACATACTTTATGGATATGAAGTGGATGCTCAGAGAGAGATAGTGATTACTTCAAGGTCACACATGGAATAATAGATTTATGACTAAAAATGTTAATTCATAGTTCTAAATGATGCCTTTTTTGTATTGCATAACACTATACCCTAAAAACTTCAAATGGTGCTGGAATTTGTAAGCATAAAAAATTTTCACTTTATTGAGCATGCATTTTCACACAAGGCAAATAGTTATGAATGAGATTTTAAAATTAAATGTAAATTCTAAAGGGTCATAATGATGAAGGAGATATATAACTCTTGCCCCAATACATGTTGAAAGTGCCAATTTAACAATCCTTCAACATTGCGGAATGAAGTGGCAATTCACAACAAGAAGTTAGGAGAGTTTTATTGGAAATGAGAACAGCTCTTGCATTTCAGGAGGGGTCTGGAGTCGGGGGCCACTGAGGCCCTTTGTCAGGGGTAATTTATTAAAGCAAAGTCACAAAGCGGGTACAACCTGCATGAGACTGTAGTCGACCTATAGGAATACAAGTACAGCGCTTAGTGAATATTGATCCAACAGGGAAATGAGTCACTTAAAAAAACCTATTAATAAGATTTTATATATTTATGTGAAGTAAAACAAGACAGCTGGTTGCTTAAGGAAAACAAATGAAACCTGCATTGAGTGAAACAAATGATAATGTGATGGATTTTCTCTAACAGTTGAATTGCAGTAATCTGGAACCCTAATGACAAGGAAACTTAGTTAATATAATGAGAAGAGATCACTTCAGCACTTGTTTTGAAAAAGGAATATGGTGAAGTTAACACTACAAATATAAGATAATGTAGAGATACCTTTGTGTTTGTGCATGTATATAATTTAGCTAATTAATCTACACAATTTAAGATCAAAGTGATACACACACACACACACTGTATTTTTATTGCAAGCTAAAAATTCAAAACAAGCATCCAGTTTTCCCAAAATAGACTCAAATTGTTGCTTTTTGTATATGGTAATGATGGAATTCTTAAAAATTAAGAATCCCAGAAAATGCTTTTAAAAGCTAAATCTATAAAAGTCATTTCAATGTTTATTCTGATTTTTGTTATATTTATTCACATTGCATACAGAATTCTTACCAGTAAAATATCCTTATAATTTACACAAATATAATTTATACAGGCATACATTTTTAAATGTGTGAATACTACCCATAATATGGGTCAAATTTCTACCTTTTCTGGACCTGTGTAAATAAGAAAAAACCATTACTGACCCTTCCTCCCTATTATTCCACAGGTAATATATGGGAATTGTTAGGCAGGTAGGCTTCCTACTAACAGAAATATATGTGTGCGTGTGCATGTGCGTGTGTGTGTGTGTGTGTGTGTGTATGTGTGTATTGTGTGTGTTAATGCTCTTTCTTCTTTTGAAGATATTTGGCTGTCTGCAACTTATTTTTTTCTAAAATTAGTATATTTTGGGTGAAGGAAATCAGCAATGAAGTTATAGAATTTTATAACTGGTAAAATAAATTTAAATTTCTACTTTAACTTCTTTTAAGAGATCATTTTCATCATCATTCTATATGTGGCAACTGAGGCACTAGTCCCATATAGGTATGGAGTAAGGAATGCATCACAATATTGTATCAAACGCTTCAAATTGGGGATACAAATCTTTCTTTTTCCTTTTTGCCTGCCTTTCTTCCTATTTTCTATATTTCTTTCTTCTAATCTCTCATCCTTTCTCTTTCCATCTCTTTCTCAGTTCTAACCTATGTTTGATATTGTATAGCACCAATCTCAAGAATAAATATAAGCTATCCTAATGAGATAAGAGACATAGTGATTACCTGGAGGTGGTAATTGGGGGTAATTATTGTCTGGAAAGTGCATCAAGGGAACAATTTTGGGTACTGAGCAGTGGGCACATAGTTGTATATCACTGGAAAATGATGCTGAGTGCTCTACACTTAAATTGGAATAGTTTTTAAGCACTTTGTAGTATATTTTATCCATGACAAAGAAAAGCAATGCAGTGGTGACCAGAGATAGGATTTTACCTATAATGGGGTGAAGGGTAACCATTAGCAGCACAATTCAGGATGATTTCAGATCGTGATAAATCCAAAGGAAAAATGACATCTTGTGGCTCCTGGGTAAAAATAGGTCGGCTCCACCAGCCTTCTCCTGAAACAGAAAAGAACAGCACATAAGAAACTTGTCCCTGCCTTGAGTGCATGTATATACTAAATATTAAATCTACACACATTTTAAAAAAAATCTTTTATTTGGAAACAACCTCAAACTTAAAGAAAATGTTGCAAAGATGATACAGAGAATTTTTTTTTAATTTATTACTGATTTTTTTTACTCCAAATAAAGCAGTTTACATTTCCTACAAAGAAAGGACATTCTTGTACACAATCTCAATGAAAGCAACAACACCAAAAATTAATACTGATTCATGCTTGGCATTTAATCCCTTAGCCCCATTTTCCAATTCTTCCTGACAAAATCTTTTATAACAAAAGTTTAAAAGGACAAATTTCATTTCTTTTATTTTTTATTGCTATTTCAATTTGGAATAATTTCTCAATCTTTCTTGATTTTTTTCTGATTCATGAAATTACAAGGCAGTTATTTAGTAAAGTTTCAGTAAATTTGGGATCGTCTGAGTAGTTAGGTACTGAGTCCAGCATAGTCCCTGGTAGAGTTGTATGGCAAAGGTATGGGCAATAATAAGTTAGTGCATGTAGATTTTTAAAAATAGTAATAAAAACAGTGAAGATTGGTTCTTTTTTTAAAAAATCACCATGCCATAAATTTCTCCAGGCCAACCAGAGTACTCTGATCCCACTGTTAGGTCACAGAGGAAATTAAAGAAGAAATCAGAGACTTCCGTCAAATAAATGATAATGACAATACAACATATTGGAATCCATGGGACACAATGAAAGCAGTCTTACGGGTGAAAATCATAGCAGTGAATACGCATATTCTGAAAACAGAGTGAGCCCAATTAAGCAACCTGATGCTGAAGCTCAAGCTTCTAGAAAGAGAATAGTAAGACAAACCCAAAGCTAATACAAGGGAGGAAATTATAAAGATCAGAATAGATATTATTGCAATGGAGACTAAGAGAACGATTCAAAAAATCAATGAAGCCAAGAGTTGGTTCTTGGAAATAATAAACAAAATTGGCAAACCCTTAGCCAACTTTATCAGAAAAATGAAACAAAAGGCCCAAATCCATGCAATTAGGAATGAAAAGGGTGAAATTACAACAGAC